TTGTTTCTTATGATAGTATTTTACATACATATTGAAAGCTATATACCTAAGTATAATATGATTGAAAAAAAAATTTAGTCCTAATAACCATAAGTTAAAGGTTAACATGACCTTATTGCTGCCCTGTCATTTGTGGGAATTTCAGGCAACTCTGGCAAGGCTTATGATTCTGTTACTGTGTTTGCTCAGTGAATATGCTGCTTTTTAGATCTCAATAGCTGAAAGAGATGGAGGAAGATCATCCAGAACATCTTGCTACTATTAATAATGTGTTCAAATGGCAGCAAAAACTAGAAGTGTATTCAGTAAGATTACATTTTAAAAACAAAAGTTAAAGAAATATAAGCAATTATAAATTCAACTTTATGTAAGTCCCTCTTGATTTCCAAACTCCCTTCTTGTTCTAAATTTTATTTTACGATCACATATCATCTCCCTCCAGATTTAATGATTTCCTATCACAGATTCATTTTTCCCCTTGACTTTCTAATTCCTCTAGAACACATTTTTTGTGATTTACTTTCTATTACATGTTAGAACATTAGTGGAAATAATGTATTCCTAGGAGTCACACAGACCTAAATTTGAATCATGGCCCCAGCAGTTGCTGGCTCTCTGATTATAATCATCTATAAAACAGGAAAAGAGAATAATAATCATGTTAGGGTTATTGTGAGAATTAAATGAAATGACATGCAAAAAAAAAAAAAGTCTAGCACTTAGGCTACTCACAGGTCGTTAGCTTACTATACCACAGATGCACCTATGTAAGTGTTCTTCATATGTTCATTAGGCATGCTGCTTGAGCTGGGAAGGGTTTGAAGAAAATCCCATTTGTTTTATTTAATTATCAACTTGTGAATATATTTCAGAATATTTTAAAAAATTAATTAGTATTCTCTCTTTAACAATTCATAAAAAAAATCCATTATTGTTAGTATTTAGAAAACGTATGCCATCAGTATGAGTGTTTTTGTGAGGGGCTATTTATCAGCTCACATGGTAATATATGCATATAGCTATCTTTCCAGTGCTGGGATCAAAACCAGGGTATTTTGCATATCTTGCTTATCTCACTGAGCTACATTCCCAGCTCTCTTACAAATCAAAAATTACAGTTTTTGATGGGTTTTCAGTAAAATTTTTTGAATCTCAAATATCACATATTTTCTTATGCAGAACTCCACTTACTGATTTTTTATCTTGCTGTGAATATCTCCACCCAAAGCTGCAATATTGACCAGATATGATGACCTTTACTTAGTTTTCCTCATCGAGATACTAACTTGATGTTTGAGTATAGGATTCAGGTATGGCAGGTCACTGTGTTTGTGAGTGATTTTAACTATTGAGACCAGTCCTTAGACCGTGCTTGTAGCATAGTCTAGAGTTGGGTGACTTCCGTTTGAGTGTCAAGTAACCTAATTCTTTGATCTTTAACATGTTATAAAGGTGTATAATAAAAATACTAATCACCTTATGAGTTGCTCCGAAGAGTTATTATCCTTTAAATGTTTTATCATCATAATTTTTGTTGGTACTAGTGTTATTAGTAATTTATATCATTGATAATGAAAATTTAGTATTACTTCAGCCTCTACACCCTGCACCTTCCCACTCTTAACATGGTTCAAAGACACATACACACACATGACTTTCTGTTAGCTATTAGGAAAGGTGAATAATTTATACCCATTTGACAGGTTTGAAAATTACTAGCATTTCTTTAATATTAACATTTATAGATCATGGTCCAAAGGCATTATGTCACTATGAGCCTTGCCACCACTCTGAAATAAAAGGAGGATTATTATTCCCATTTGAGAGAAAAAAAATTAAGGTTTTAGAATTTGATTTAGAGGTTCAGCATCACCCAGCTAATAAATGAGAGCAGAGATTAGCACACATAACTTTGTGAAGAAAATATTGAATCACAGTTACATTCCTCTCTGCTATGTGTAGAGACTCAAGTAGCAAAGAAACTAAGGGCAGAAAAATTTTCTTCTCATCAGTTTCCATAGCCCTTCCAGAACTTAGTCAGAAAACAAACTGTAAAATACCAGATGGACGGTTATTACACACTTGCCATATTAAGATGCAGAGCCCTTTGAAGGTCATCTTCATCATTTAGTCTGTTGTGATTATGTTGTTTCATCAATGATGTAACTATTGTTGCCTTAATGACACCCTGTGGTGCCACACTAGAAGTAAAAGCTTTTGTAGAAATTTAAACAGCAGAAGCAGCGAGGGGTTGATGGACTTGACAAACGGAAGCTTTCTTTCATGGAGGAGGAACATGCGTAACGACTCTGTGCTTACACTAGAAGACAGGAAGGCCACCCTTCAAATACTTGTGCCTGCTTCTAAGCAGAATGTTTTCCATTTTTACACAGAGCATTAGCAGAACTAAGAAAATAATACAACTAAAATTTTAGGGGATGTAATAGTAACTAACTCTGTTAGTACAAAGTGTTCTACCTCAATAAGCATCCCAAGTTCCCCATAACAGTCCATCAGCTAGAAATCTTTGGGTATAGTTCATCTTCTTGCTGCTGCCTAACAGTTTTCTTTGTTACTGGATGAATTACAATTCTTTCAAGGGGAAAGGGTAACCTGCCGGGAAGGATGGTAGGTTTAGTTGTAAATCATTTGCTCACCAGCCTTGGGCTGAAAGGACAGGTTTCTTAACCTTTTTTTATAATTTCAATTTTCTTCACATAAAGGGGGTGATAGAATCTGCCCTGTGTATTTGTATAGCTGTTAGCATTTCTATAAGGTGTACATGTTTGGGAGACCTAAGGCTACATTTTCCTTTAATTATTTTTTCTATTGAAAAAAATGCATGCTACTGGTAAACAGAAGAAGGATGAGTGAGAAGAGAGGAAATAAAAAAATAAAAAATAATAAGTAGAGGACAGAGTGAGGATTATATGACTGTGTTAATATCAATTCTACAATAATAATAATTATAATTATTAATTAGCAACAATTATGACAAGAATCAAAAAATCAGGGACAAATCCCCTATTTACTCTTCCAGTGCTTTCTGTAATCTTTCAAATAAAGAATCAAATCAGTTGATTTCAAAAGCCTGCTTTTATAAGTAAATGTTATACATTATCCTCTGATGGAAATCACCAAATATTTTCTTAAAACTAGACTGTAGCCTCATATATATGGGTTTTCATTTTTAAATTATGAAGTTGAATATTTCTTTTATATGTAAAAGTCACTTATATTTAATTTATTTTTTAATGTAACTTGTACTTCAGTGTTTTAGGTTGTTAGTCTTTTATCTTTCCTTTATTTTTCCCCCAAACTATTTTGTATTAAGGGAAATAGGCGATTTTCTGTTATGTGCTTACAAATATTTTTTCTATATTAATTTATTTTTCTCTGCAAAAATGATGCATGCAGTACTTACTGAATATTTTTATGGCTATTGAATTTATGATCTGATCTATTAGGGTCAAAATCCTACTCTATTATTAAGGTTTTTATTATTAAAATGCTTGAAGATAATTTGTTCTCTTAAGCAGAATAAACCATTTGTTCAAATGCTATTTCTGCTGTGAAGCTACTTAAAAAATTTTCTACATGAATTTCAAGAGCAAACCACTGCCCCCACTAAATCTCATACCATTACTTGGAAATAAGTGGTTTTAGAATCAATAGAGATTTCTGCATTTTGAAGTGACACCAAATAATTTCTCAGTATTCTTATTTTCTGACACACACAGCTCGCAGCATTTTTTTTCAAAAAGAGGCAGAAGTTGGATTACATTTTCTCTTAGATGCTTTTCTCCGGAAACATATTTCTTGATGAACTCTTAACTTTCTGTCCTAAAGGCCACCATATGTTCTCCCTTATGAAAGATCACTTGGTGGTCATCAGACTTTGGCAGAATTGTGTGGAAAAATGGCAATGATGTATTTACTTTAGTGCAACAGGGTTAGGCAGCAGAGAGTGCACACAGCTTATATAATCAATTCTCTATCCAAGCTATCTTAGCTGCCAGAACTCATGCCTCTCACAAGCAGGAACCCTGTCCTCATCATCACCGAATGCTCAGACTATATTGCAATGCCTAATGGAGTGAAGCTGCTCCACAGGATGAGTACAAGGTAAACAAATGAAGGATTGTGCAAACAGGTTCACAGTCTCATCCCTGTCACTGATTCTAAATGTGACCTGATACCAGTTTCTCAGCTTTCTGGACCACGGTTTCATTTTCTGCAAAGCAAAAGGTTTAGTAGAAAGCACAGTAAAAAACAGAGTTCATAGTGGTTTGAAAGAAAAAAAAACATTCTGAAAATTGGTACAATTATATCAATATGCATTTAATAAGCAATATGGAATATTGGAAATTTTAATGCTAGGTGATAATTCCCCTCAAAGAACAATTTTTTTCTGACCTCATAAAACAGAGGTCAAAGAAAATTGTTCTTTGGGGGGAATTATATTGATTAATAAAATATCATTATGTTGTCTTTACTATCCCTCTCCTTAATATAATTATGAAAAAGGCTTAGAGCTACCAGGAAGGCAGGTGCTATTGACTGGAGAAGCCACACATGCAGTTTCATGCTTTCTCCCATAATATTGTCTTCCCACTGGATTATTAATCTGTATGTACATTCTAGAAGTCCCTTGATGCTTTGGTAGCTTTGGTGTATTTAGTTCAATTTATCAGAATTATGCTCTGTTTACTTGATTCGTGAGATGAAAAGATGATACATAGATAGGTACCTCACATCCCTATAAGGAAACATTCAAAATGTTCTTGGCCTTCAAGTTCATGGCCACCCTGAGAGGACCTCTTAAATCCCCCTTATGAAGCTTTTGACCTTTTTGTGGGGAACTCATACAGGCAGGCACAATGATCATGCAGGAGAAGCAAGATGGCAGTAGGGGGAAGTAAAACTCAAAAGAGAGAAATCTAAAGTATTTTAAATCATATTTATGTTATAATTCTTAATTTTATCCTATTTCCCTGCAGGCTTAAATGTTGATTTGGCTACTTGGCTACTGAACACAAAATGAATAACTCAACAAACTCCTCTAATAATGGCCTGGCTATTACCAGTCCTTATAAGACATTTGAAGTGGTTTTTATTGTCCTTGTGGCTGGATCCCTCAGCTTGGTGACTATTATTGGAAATATCCTGGTCATGGTTTCCATTAAAGTCAACCGCCACCTCCAGACAGTCAACAACTACTTTTTGTTCAGTTTGGCCTGTGCTGACCTCATCATAGGTGTTTTCTCCATGAACTTGTACACCCTCTACACTGTGATCGGCTACTGGCCTCTAGGACCTGTGGTGTGTGACCTTTGGCTAGCCTTGGACTATGTGGTCAGCAATGCCTCCGTCATGAATCTGCTCATCATCAGCTTTGACAGGTACTTCTGTGTCACCAAACCTCTGACCTACCCCGTTAAGCGGACCACGAAAATGGCAGGGATGATGATAGCAGCTGCTTGGGTCCTGTCCTTTATCCTCTGGGCTCCGGCCATTCTCTTCTGGCAGTTCATTGTAGGGGTGAGAACTGTGGAGGATGGGGAATGCTACATTCAGTTCTTCTCCAATGCCGCCGTCACCTTTGGTACCGCCATTGCAGCCTTCTATCTGCCAGTGATCATCATGACTGTGCTGTATTGGCATATATCCCGAGCCAGCAAGAGCAGGATAAAGAAGGAGAAGAAGGAGCCCGTGGCCAACCAAGATCCAGTTTCTCCAAGTCTGGTGCAAGGAAGAATAGTGAAGCCAAATAATAACAACATGCCCGGCAACGATGGTGGCCTGGAACACAACAGAATCCAGAATGGCAAGGCCACCAGAGATGCTGTGACCGAGAACTGCGTCCAGGGGGAAGAGAAAGAGAGCTCCAACGATTCCACCTCGGTCAGTGCTGTGGCTTCCAATATGAGAGATGATGAAATAACCCAGGATGAAAACACAGTTTCCACTTCCTTGGGCCATTCCAAAGATGAGAACTCGAAGCAAACATGCATCAAAATTGTCACCAAGACCCAAAAAGGTGACTCCTGTGCGCCAACTAATACCACTGTGGAGCTAGTTGGGTCTTCTGGTCAGAACGGAGAAGAAAAACAGAACATTGTAGCCCGCAAGATTGTGAAGATGACCAAGCAGCCTGCAAAGAAGAAGCCTCCTCCTTCCCGGGAAAAGAAAGTGACCAGGACAATCTTGGCTATCCTGTTGGCTTTCATCATCACCTGGGCCCCATACAATGTCATGGTGCTCATTAACACCTTCTGTGCACCATGCATCCCCAACACAGTGTGGACCATTGGTTATTGGCTCTGTTACATCAACAGTACTATCAACCCCGCCTGCTATGCACTGTGTAATGCCACCTTCAAGAAGACCTTTAAACACCTTCTCATGTGTCATTACAAGAACATAGGTGCAACAAGGTAAAACACCTTTGAAAAGAAGGGAAATGGTCAGGGGAGCTTGGGAAGTATAAAGAGGATAAAAGAGCTCCTACTATTAAAATCTCTGCCCTTGCACTTTATGGTCTTATTATGGAATGGAAAATAAGGAGCTCCACAGTGACCCTCTTTTCATGCCATAGCTCCAGTTTGAAAAAAACAAAAAAAAAACCTTTCACCTTATAAACACTGTCAGTTTAGGAGCAACGAGACAATAAAAGAGGCATGTTGGAACTGTGCATTTAAGGAACAATCTAGGCTGCCGTACTCTCTTGAAGAAGGGCTTCTGAATCTACAAATCTGTCAGTCTCTGCACAAAAGAAAAACCTATTCATTTTTGTTGTTTCTCTTTCCTTTTGTTCTCATGTGTCCCTGTGAGGACGAAATGCCAGAATACACACTAATGTGGAGACTTCAGTATAGAGAAATGGACTTTATACAACGGGCAAGTGAAGAAAAGAAATCCAAAAGGCTGCAGAAACAGTCTCCAGAGTATTAAGCAGATTCTCTTCTTTTGGTATGATATTATTTGGAGGACCACACTACAATCAGCGCTTTTTTTTCCCCCACCTGTCTCTTTTTCCATCCATGCAATGCAAACAAACAAAAACCCATCTAGATGACACCATTTATTTTTATTATGGTCTAGGTTTGCACTTGTCCATTCTACATGGCATAATGGTAGTACCTGTAGGACTTTCATCCAATCCATCCAGAGACAGCTGGAACACGGGCACTTCACCCCTCCTCACTGCATCTTTGGCCTTCCTGGGAGTCAGAAATTCTATAAGGCTTTAATTCACTTATGATCCTATGTGTAGAACATTTCCTTCTACAGTAGCCTTTTATTTTAACAGAATAGTCTCCCTAACACATAAACATTCTTGAGAAATCAAAGTCATCCTAAAGTTGAGATTTCCTCAAATTAAAAAATGGACAGTCCAGCTGGAGAAAGTGTACAGATGCCAGATGAATTTTGAGATGAGAAGATAGAAGGTTAGAGTTGTTTTCTGTTTGAACCTGAATCTGCCTGACCCAAGTATGAAATGTTAACTTGTATAATACAAACTCCTGATATTTTCAGCAGCTTTTTTCATTGAGATTTCTAAACAAGGCTAGTTTACTTAGTCTCAGAAGAGTCAAATCTTCAATTCATTGCCCAATCATGGTGAATATTCAAATTATTATCAAATTAGGTTGCATAACTATACTAGTACCTGTTGGAAGGAGAAAAAAATCAGAAATACTTATCTGAAAGTACATATTTCATATTCCTCAACTTGCCAACTTTCCCTAAGATTATTTAACACAAAATTCTCTGGTTTTAGTAGAATTGAAGTACTCTTTGTGATCCAAATGTAGCAGTTAACCAACAGACTCTCCGAACATGACAGAAGAATGTAGGTGGATATTCCCTGTCTCTTCTCACTAATTCTAGACCATAAAAAAGTCAGGTCAGGAATAATTATACTGGTATTACATGAAACTTGTCCATGTACAAACATGTTATTTTGTAGCACAAAAAGTGTAGTATAAATTGATTCACATTTCATTAGTTATTTTAAACCTTCATATATTTTCTTACATTATTCTCTATAGTCTTCCAATCATATTTTATACAGATGACCCAATGGATAGAAATTAAATTTGTAAATTTTATTTCAAATGTCATATATTGCATTTACGATTCATGACTACACAATATCTTGCCCCGATATGATGTGGTAGGTCATGTGAGTTACATGACAAATTTGTCAGCCTAGAACTTACTACTGTTATTTTATATAACTTTTCTCATCAATTTGGAGAGTTGAAGAAGGAGAACAGGAAGAAGAAAAAGAAGAAGAAGAAGCACAAAGGCAACAACAAAAGTTGTGAATTAATAAGAAGAAAATTGCCCACAATATTGTAGGTAACATTATTTATAAAAATAACTCTTTGGTTGAACAATTCCATTTGTCTACCCCCACCCAATATTTCATGTGTAACTTCATATTATCCATTCATATGGGCTATTTTAGTCTATAAATAATTATTTTTAGTCTATAAATAATTCAGTGTAAACTTTTTCATTTTAAATTCACATAGTTTTTTACATAGCATCTCTTCACATTGGCTAAAATCAATTGAGTGGAAAGAACATCAAGTCAATGGGCTCCTTGTTTCCTTGTCCTACTAGTTTGCTTTTTCATTGGTTGTATCACCATGATGTAGACTTAGTTTAGTTGGGATGAACCCTTTGGATCCCAAGATTTATGAGGGACTTCTGTTTTGTTTGCTCTAACAACCCAAAGTATGTGAGTCAAACTGTATCTAACTATCCATTGCCATTGTATGCATCTTCCTTTTGTTCTTGATATACACCCCAGCCACCACAACTTCATTGAAAAAGAAATTGCCAAATTAAAGAAAAGAATCCAAGTGAGACTGCCATACCATGGAAACTAGAATCAGAAAAATGGAAGGAACACTGAAGGTGATTGGAGAAATATGGAAACTGTATCAAAAATTTATGTTAACTGTTGTTGGATTTGCCTATTTTGGTGACTCCCCACCAGGGCCCTTTTTTCCCTAGGGGAACATTTAGCATTTTGAGCAATGTATAGAGACATTTTTTGCTGCCATAAGTTGGAGGAAGACACTTGTATTTAATGGGTAGGGCCAGGAATACGGCTGAACAGGTCACCATGCACAGGACAGGCTCCCATCCCCTCCAAACTAAATTTATTTATTTTGAAATGTACATAGTGCCATGGCTAAGAAACTCATTTTTTTTATAAAGGAATTCCTAGAATTAACTTTCTGTGAGTGGATAAATAACTCACTTATAGAAAATTATTGCAAATTGCTCACCTGTTGGAAAATAAAAGTAATATTAATCAACAACATACAAGAAACATTCCTCTACTGACTCTGGAGTATTTATGATTCAAAGACTGGGAACACAGGTCCTATGTATGTATTCAAAGTCACCAATTCATGCATATAGTTCATTATTTCTAACATCTTAATGTTTGATCATGATTGTCATGGAGTCTAGTCAGAAGGTTGCAGTTGTTAACCATCAAAAATGTTTGTAGTTCATATGGTCAATTTGTATCAAAGCTACCATTTTTCTTTTCAGAATAATGAGACAATACAATTCGTCTCCTTAGCTTTTGCTGGGAACATCCGTATCTGTTAAGTCTTTATTGCTTCTTTCCTCGTAGCAATAATGTAAATATCCCAGAGTGGTCTTATAAGATGAGATTAAGAATATGAAAAGGACCAGTACATTTCCTGAAAAAAGAAATAATTCACTTTTCACCAGTTCATCCTTAATTTAATCCCAGATCCCTATTGTAAGACAAAGTTGTCAATATAATAAGTCACAAGAAATAAGCTCTCTGGGTTGACATGTGGAAGCTGGAGGTCCCACGTACTCTGCCCTTTGTCCACTCGCTGCTTTTTGGTCTTGAAGAGGTGACATTTTGACAGATGGGTGTTCAACATGATGGCAACAGTTACTTAGTAATGCAGTCTACTTGTTTTCTTCTATTGAGTTCACTGATAGTTGCCTCCCCTATCCAGATTAATAATATCCTTTTCAACAACCATAGTACTGGTGTTGCAAATAGATTAGGAAAGCACCCACAGCTGGATGGACCTGTGTATTTTCAGCATGTATATACAATACCATGCCCCTTCAATAAAAGCTTCTCTTAAAAGGGTGCACGCTGTAGCATGAACTGTGTGCATATTTAATATATCTATCTGGAATATGCTGTATGCTTATATATATATATACTATAAATACAATAATAAAATGTACCATAGAAATACATATTTCTGTATGCAAATAAATATATTATACACAAAATCTTGGTTTGTGGTATGGTGTATGTTTTTTTCAGAAAAAAAGTAGATTTTGTGTGCCCCATTTTCAAGAAAAGCAGTGTTTGCATTTGAAGAAAGAAATTTTAGAACAGCCCAAATCCTGCTTATATTAAAATTCAATGCTTTATAATCTTCAAGAAGCCTGGCAGTGATTTTAAATATCTCTTAGAGGAGTAAATTAATAAATCTTGCTGGTATCACCCCACATGACAACCATGCTTTCTTCTCCTGCACTCTGACGGGCTTGTGATGAGAATCTTCCAGCTGGTGCAGTCCCAACAGCTGTGTTGATCTTGTGTCTGATTGCCTGATGAGGCTGCACCCAACTCGTTCTCAGAAAGTTTCACTCTCTTCCAAATTAACTGATTTTAGTGAAATAAAAAATAATCATACTGGGAGAAAAGGATGACCTTCAGAACATCTTTTTTATTCTGACAAACAAGGTAAAAAAATGTACAAGCACTGTATTTTATAAACCACTCTTTCAACTGGGCTCCAATACAGCCTCCCATACATTAAACACCAAAAATTTTTAATGAAGTATAAAATTGCAAGTTTCCCCATGAAATTATGAAACAGATGGCTTGTTCTCAAGTGTCCTACATTTTCTCCACACAGCCTCTTCCTCTCCCTGTTACACTCAACTGCCCACTCTCCTAGGAACATTTCCTTTGGTCCACACTCTCCTAGGAACATTTCCTTTGGTCCATTAGCACAATCTTGTTGTAATTAGTTGAGATCAGGCAAGCTGTCCCAGGAGATGCTTACATTTTAATACAAAAAGCATTAACACTGAGCCTTTGAAAGATTATTATTATGGTCCTTAGGTACTAAGGTATACAATGGTAGAGATATTTTTCAATTAATTCTAGTTTTCTTTATATTACTTGTGACAAACTTGATGTCTATATCCTTCTTATATTTTACCCCCTATGATGCCATTCACCCACTGGTGAACTGGGGTCCTATACACCAAAGAAAACACTCTGAGGATTCTATCAAGTCCCATTGGTTTCATTTTGTTCCAGTGAACTAGTCCCATTTCATTTTTGAGAATGAAACCTGTATCAATAAAGAGTTAAATGCTCTTTTTGACAGGATATTTGCTAACACTGAAACAAAAAGCATCTTGTCATTATTCCTTAATAATCTTCTACCATATAACTTGTATCAGTTTTTTTTCTTTCAGCCCCAAATGGAGGAAACACAGTGTGATAAGTTGTGGAACTCCAAGGTATTTATTAAATAGGTCACATTACATAAAATCTAAAACACACTCACATGGTCATGGGAAATTGCACAGAAAAAAAAAAGGTATCCATCATCTGTACTTGTATCACATACCCAGCAAGTTATATAAATTCATTAACTATTCACTTTCTGAAAATGGGTATACTTCTGAGGTCTTAGTACAAGATTTTTCAAAACTATGCATCTTTTTAAAAATTATTATAAAATAATGGAAGACATAAGTGAATCACAGTATGTCTGTGTCTGGAAGTACAATGGATTGCAGAGGTGGCTAATTCAAATCTAGATAATAGCTTCACTCTTTGTATAAAAAGCAAACATCATAATTCACTATAATTTATTCAACATTGTCTTTGCTCCTCACTGCCTCTGTGTAGGAAGCAGGAGCTTGCGGGTTTGTGTTGGTGTAAGTTCACTAAGAGTATATATTCTATTACACTACATGTCAGTGATTCTACAACAATAGTACGTAAAAGAATCACTTGGGGCCTTACTGAAACACACATTGTGGAGCCTTTCTCCCAGGCCTCCAGTAGTTTGGAGGTGAGGTCTGGGAACTTGTGTTTCTAGCGACTTCTCAGGCCATCTTATGCAGACCACATTTTGACTGACTTAATAGTCCCGTGAAGAATTCCACCAAGCATCCTGATAATTAGCAAGACCTCTACTCTTGATGGAAAAAAAAAAACATAATCCAGAGGAAAGGGAAAATTTTCTTAGACATAAAATTTGAGGCTTGCCGACTATGTTAATCAGCTTTGAGTAGCTATAACTACAAAACCTGACAAAAACAATTTAGAGGAGGAAGACTTTATTTTGGTTCATGATTCATAGCTTTAGTTCATAGTCCTTGGTGGAGACCATTGCTCTAAGCCCAAGATGAGGCAGTACGTCATGAGAGAAGGACATGGCAAAGGAGAGCAACTCACTTCTGGTGGCCAGGAAGTCCAGCAGGCATGAACACTTCCAGGGCACACCCCCAGGGACCCACCTCCTCCAGCCACACCCCACCTGCCTATAGTTGCCATCCAGTCAGTCCATTTGAATCAGGATAGACTGATTGACAGCTCTCACTGTTCAATCACTTCACCTCTGAATATTCCTGAGTTACATAGGAGCTTTGTGGGGACACCTCATATCCAAACCATAACATTGGCAAATAAGCTCCTCATATCGTCTTTCTTGGAAAACTTTGGGTCTCATACTGTCAACACCAGCTATTCAAAATAGCTGTGGGATAAATGTACTTGAAGAGTTAATTGAATTTTATCTATAATATCTCCACTAAAAGATATTTAAATATAGATTTTTCTATCATGACCTTCATGATATATTTTTCCATAGGTGGTGTATGCCACATATTCTCTTCATATGCATATAGAAAATGAATCATTTCATTATTTTTCTATTTGAAATTATGATAGAATCAAAATATTTGTACTTAAAAAGCAATTCATCAACCTGATCTTATACACACTCACAATCACATATATAAAACACATACTCAGGCACATAAACACACATGTACACATAAAAATGCACACAGACACAAACATACATATAAACATACAAGCCTCGCCTTGTGTTTCTTGACAATCCCCAGAAGCGTAACCCTTCTACAACTTTCAAAAAC